GAATTTAGACACGAAATGTGCCCAAGCTAAGTACTTAAGGGGTTAATTGGGGAACTGATGCAATCCCAAAAAGGTTGGAATGTGAAATTCAAATGACACTCAAAAGATCCTGTTCGTTTTATTTGCGAGTAGGGAATAGTCCTTGTTGAATCTATCCAATTTCACTTTAGCTGAATTACACTATTCTGACGTAAATCGGTATGAATTTCACCAATGCAGGCGAGCCACTGACTACGGAGTTAACGCCCTGAGATAATTCAGCAATATCACTGAAGCCTTCTAAACCTCGTCTTTGCTAAATTGCGTCAATGCTTAAAAGATACAACTTTGTTTTCGACTTTGGAATTCTTGGGGAAAATCGTAGAATCGTAGTTTTACAAAAAATATTTTGAGTTCGATCAAATTTTGATGAAGGCGTGTAGTAGAATTGTTATCAGACCTGAATTGTAAGTCCTCTATTTCATATCGTTGTTTGATTCAGTTGTGGTTTTCGTTCGTTATTTTCTTTTTCTAATAAATCTTTTTCTAATAAATCTTTTTGCCTTGACATTGCTTAACAATAATAATGATAATTATAGACCTTATTTAAGGTCTTTTATGATGACAAGATCTTCTAAAAATTCCAGACAGTGGAATTTTATGTTTAAAAGTTGGATATTTATTTCTTACATTCAAATTTCAAAATTCAAAAGAAACATTTCAGGTCTCTTCATTGCCTAACATTGTCTGGTAAACCATTCAAAAGTTTGGTCCATTCAATAAAAAAGGCAATTCTAATCTTTTCTGTTTTATGTTTAAGGATGACACATTTCCTTCAAGTAGATGACCTGGTATGTCTATCGTGAAACCTAAATACTAATTCATTACAGTCCAGATAATTTGGACATTGTTTATAACATTGTACATCAAAACACATTTATGATATTCAATCTCTTATGTATGGTAACCATGTGAGTTGAGTAAAAAAGTTCTTCGTCAGATACAGAATAATCTGCATCTAGTATTATGCGTAAAACTCTCTTCTGCAAGTTTTCTAATTTTAATGTATGTTAGAAAACAATGTCCCAAAATATTGGTTCAGTAATCAAGGCAAGGTAAAATAAAACAGTTGAAGTAGGTTATTCTTGATAAAATAGGCAAGAACTTTTTAACTTAACTGATAGGTTTTGAAATTTACGATTTTGATAACATCCTGGCCATGTTTGTTTTACGTTAGGGTATCATCAATGCACATACCAAGTAGTTTGTCATGTCTAACATGTTCTTATCTTATGTTGTCACACTCATCACGTGTAACTTTCTGTTTTCTTCCTAACAACATCACTTTAGTTTTCTCTTTATAAACAACCATTTTGTTGTTTTTACACCATTTCTGTACATTTACAAAGACAGACTGCAGACATGATTTAATGATATAAATACACTTAGCAGAGTTCTGCATAGTTTTTCCGTCTACATACATGTACCATTCACACTGCTTAGAGTGGAGAGGCATGTCATTTATATACGGTATAAACATCAAAGGCTATATCATAGAGCCCTGTGACATACCAGTTTATTTCACAAGAGCTGCTTAAATGATTTTTGTACGAGACACTTTGATATCGACGTGTTCGATAGACCGTAAAAACTCTCATTGCATTGTTTGAACAATGTAGTAGAATGTTGTTTGTAGTATAATATTGTGGTCAACAAGATCAAAAACATTTCTAAAATCAACGTACATTACACCACTAATATTTCCTATATCCATCTCTTCATAATATCTATTATTTACTGCTGTAAACTCAGTCTGACAAGAATGTATACTTTTATAACAAAACTGATTGGCAATGAGTAAATTGTGCTGAATCAAGAAATTAAATAAAGATAAATAGAGAGGTGTTTTGTAGGATTTTGGTATCATAGTTTAACAAGAGATTCAGAATCATGAGCTCTCCCCGACCATCAAAAAATCAAAATGGTTGTTGATTTTTTTCCAACTTGACACCCAGTCATGATATTCATAGGAAAACGCAATAGGATTATTCAGTCTAATGAGACTTAAGATATACCAAAGGTTGACGACATGAAATCTCTGTAAAACGACAATAAACCTTTCTCCGATCTAGTCAGGATTGTCTTTAACTGATATGATCTTTAACTGTAAGATTCATGTCTGTTCTACAAGGGGTGATTAACCACTTTGTAGGTGATATGACCCGACGGGTCAAGGTGACTGATACCTTATAAATATCGGCCTTTTTTCTTCGACTTTTGTCGGATTTAGTGTTTTTTTCCATTCAAATACTGCACTTCCTTAACATGTGAATTGTAAAGTTGGTCTGACATATTAGGGATAAGCAACTTTTTTTTTTATTTAAATTTGAAAAAAGTTGATGCTACCCCAGGGACAGGAACCAAAATAGGACATTTGCTAAAATGTTGCTTTACTTCAATTCCTACGTTTCCGTAATGCATTTTTGCAACTGCATTTAGTCTGAAACATTAAGGATGGACAATTATTTCCAAAATTAAGAAAGTTGTTTAGAGTCCAGTAAGCTGTGAGGTACCGAACATTTGCTTTCAAACAGACTGTAATCTGGATCATCACATGAGGAGGACAATCATTTCTAAAATTAAGCAGGTTGATCCAATCCCAACAGATAGAGGTGAGAGCCAAGAATAAGTAATTTAGATAAAATTTGCTTTGAAACTATTCTCGCCTAACGCCTAAGAGGGTTTCAATCAAATTCAGCATGCACCATCAATGTAGGCATTCAACTATTCTTAAGTACGTTAATAAGACCGCAGGGGTAAGGGAAGCAAAAGAAGATTTTAGCATCAACTTTCTTGCCAGGTTTAGAATCCCTTGATGCACAATTTCAACTTAATTTCTTTTGAAGAAAATCACTTATGGAGGACAATGATGGAAACCGCGCCAGTTTGGAATTAAAAATGACCTTTATCACCATCGATCAATATCTAATGCGCATATGATCGCTATTTAGTCATAACTACTCAAGTTTTCGTTTAATTTTTAATCCGTAATATTAGCCGACCAGTTTTACCAAACTACGTAACTGCGATTTTATCGCACAGAAACTGTAAGGTGTTTGTGTGCGCGCACGATGTATGCACTATGCTTGTTTGTTGTGCGTTACCACAAGTGTACCATCAGTGATTATATTTCCATTATTTATTAATTGCTCTCATTTTTTATCGTGTTGTAAAGAAAAAAAATGTATACTCGGCTTATTTTTAAGTGTAACGACTGATCCAGTCACATTTGTATTCGTATACAGGAAATCTTGGTTGCCCCGGCCAAATCACTCTCCGCTCTCTGAGATGTGAAATCAATACACTAGATAGAATAATTGACACGGGGTCCAACTGTTTTTCGATAACTGTCAAATTAAAAAGAAATGCGTATACGTCTTTGAACGTTTTTGTATTCATTTTTAAACGAGATCTCCTTTTAATTAATCAAATAATTTCTCGAAAGATTATCTATATTCCTATCACTTAAATGAGGATAGAACGTTCATTTGTGCTCACGATGTATACAACATGTGCGTAGTTTGCGAACAATATTCGCACATCAAACAGTACTTGAAAAACAGTAGATTTCATCAACAAACAATAAAAATTAAAAGCTACCAACTACATAAGATTTTTTCGGAAGGTTTTTTTTTCTCAAAATAATCAATACACCTACATCTTCACGTGTATGTGGTAAGGAACCGAGATTAAGAACGCGAAGCAATTGAAATTGGCAGCTTAGGACAGAGGATGCAAGTTTAAGTTTAGAGATTTCTGTTAGCCGATAGACTGCCAGATTGTTACATAATCTGTTATTGATTAGATGAAAACTTTCTCTGTATTTCTTTGAAATATTAATTAGATTCACATCTGCTAGCACTTTGTTCGTAATGTATCGTTCATCTACGACCCTGTTTTATCGAGAGAAAAGGGTTTCGAGGGTATTTCGATTTCCTCGTTTTTAAATGAAGTTGGTAATGTGTCTGAACAAACGTTTGAAGTATAAAAAACCTTTCATTTAAAGATACCCTTCAAATGTTTTGTTGTCCCTATTTATTCACATTTTTTTTTATTCATAACATTAAGAAGTGCGAGGCGTTGAATACTTTGGCTGTAAGTCTTATAATCACATCTGTTTAAACTTGCACATTTGCTGTATAATGTACTTGTGTACGCAAAGTTATATATATTAGTCAAGTATAGCCCGTGCAGGAGAGTCTGGTTAAATGGGTGGGTGGATGAATGGGGTGGGGTGTTTGTAAGGGGGTGGGGGTGGGGGGAGGAGTGTGTTTGGGGGGGGGGGGGTGTTTGTGGAGGAGGGGTATATGTGGTACGCTTCTACGATACCGTTTGTACAATGTTTGGCACGAATTAAGCTTTAACCCCTGCAGAATCTAGGGCATTACATCAGACATCAATATTAAATCTGCCCCATTGAAACACTTAGATCTTAGACTTCTCTTTTGCTTTTAATCCTCTTGGTGTCATTCTTGACATCCTTTTAGTTTAAATAAGACCATGACTTGTGTATATCAATGTATCATTAACGTGTGTCGTTAATGCACCTGGTTGTTGCGGTAAATTGAGAACGTTTGGTTTTCCCCTATCGCAATCCTAGCTTTCAAATTTGAGGCCTTTAGCTTCACCCAGAAGGACGAAACAGCTGTACGATAATCATTACTTTAAATATATATATGATTTTTTAACTTAGATATAATTCAAAATCTGTATTGAAAAGGAAATTTCACTTGTGTTATTTTGTACAATCCTTGATCACATTTACCGATCAATGATGTACTTTCGGACTTTGCCGTTCTCCCTTTTACCTTCTCCTAGTGCTACATAACCTATATTTACTGAAGACCCCTAACATAAAACAATGTGCATGTGTGTTTAAAATACATTAAAACCTTCATTTTATCCATGAAAGAGAAGTTTCCATAATATATCTGTTTTATGTTCTTATGTTTTATTTTCAGTTTCCTGCCTTATATCTCTTCCATACGTTCTCTTCACGAAGCTCGTGGAGGAAAATGGAATCAGCCTGTGTACGCAAGAATGGCCATTAGAAGGAATGAACAAGGCCATGACACTGGGCGTGGTTATAACGTCATACATCCTGCCCCTTGGCGTCATACTTGGCTGCTATGGCAAAATTCTCCAATATCTTTGGTGGGGAAGTAAATTAAAGAAAAACGACGTAAGTATTTTTTCATGTTTTGCCTTTCAGTTGCATGATCATTTAAATACTACCATAGCATTTCAAACTATCACGCATGTTTTACATTATTTCAACAATGACAAAAAGAGCCATTAAGCTTTGCTGGTTTTTTTTTACTGAAATCTGAAAAAAAATATATAAAGCTAAATGTTCAGTCATGACCTAGAGTTTTAAAATTGTTCCAACGCAGGAAATAATAAAAGCTGTTTATTTTCGAGTTACTACAAAAAGAACAAAGTGATTCAAAAGGTTTTTTGAGTAGCAAACGTTGTCACTGTTTATAAGTGAAAGCGAACAACGAGGCCGGTGTCCTTGGAATATATACATGTGCATTACATGAGATACTATCAAATTTGTAGAATTGTTCAACATCTCTAAGCTTGATCCAGCATAAACACTTTAAAACATGATCACCTCCAAAGCAAGCAATTAATATCATTTAGATGAAGCTATTGTAGATACAAAATCGATGAGATTCATTTGGAGAAATAACTGAAGTTTAGAACTTTGTCTTACTGTATATATTTCTGAATCAAGTCTGACAGTAACATACATTTTCCTGTCACCCGTATATTATGATATACCGTAGGTATCAAATATACCTACAATGTTGAACAATTAGGGTTATTAGGTTATTACGAAAGTTAAATTCGCTGTACCAAAATAGACACAACAACTTCCATAATTCCAATGCAAATGAAAAAATAATATTATTACTTATCGTGATATTCAAAACAAAATATATGATGTTATAACTTACCAAGTTTATTCAACGGTCTTGTCATGAAAATAAATCGGCCCTCCTCATTTGTACACTTAACTACTATTTTAGCAATGCAAATACAGTCAGCGCCATTAATTCACAGAAACATATTTTTTACCCGATAGAAATCGTTTCTCATATTAACATAGTGAACGTGTAAGAACGGGTACCAGTATCGCTTTTAAATCTCACTAATTTATTTAACAACGTTTAGACGGCTGTAATTTTTCATAATTTTATTGTAATGAATTTTGGTGATGATGATGACTTAACAAATAGGAAATATACATCAAGTTAGTTAGCGTTCAATCATCATTTCTCTGTGTTTTATCGCGGACATCCACAGGCAGTTGTCAAGGAAAGATGGACCGACGAAACGTGAAATTAACTACGATAGGTGTGGTTAGACCTAAATGTGTTTTCTTATGTCTACAAACAATTTTATTCTGTACGTGTGTGGCGGGGTGTTTAGTATAGTATCCGTCTACAGGCTTATCTTTCTTATTATACATACTTTTTTTACATATAACTCCTTATTTGTTCGGAAACAAGTTTGATACTATAGAGTGGAAATGCTACACAATTTCTAAGACTTGAGAAATAAGGTAGGATATTGGTGGCGTACGCTTCGTGAAGACATTTGGATGGCTCTAGCAGACGTTTTTTTCACACTCACATTAATCCAAACCTGACCTTCTGTGGTGTTTGGGTTCCAAGGGTGTCTCCTCCAGGGACATTAATGAGACAGTAATGAATTGATGGACAACACGCGCTACAAGACTGGAGATCTTGATATGTGTGCTGTTATCATTTCGTTGCTGCTGACTTGACACCTGTCAACATTCGCCCATGACCGTTGTGAGGAGCAAACGAAATATAGATAACTTTTCTATTATACCACAATTTTTACTGTTTTTCTATTATATATATATAAGTGTATCCTCTTTTGAACAATATTTGATGGTTTCCGCTGAAATGTACATATGTTAGTAAATTATCACTTTGATCAATAGTCTACGTAATGTTATTTCGTCATATATGATAACGCACACGCACAATACACCAGTAAGATAAGAATGGCATTCCACATGAATAAGTCAAAAGGACGGCCAGGTAAACAGAAAACAATCCTAGATTTTGGCGAAGAATATTATTTTGACAAATGAAAATTGATCAGATGAGAAAGCAATCAGAACGGTGCTTTTATTCTGTTGGATTGACAGACAAACTGACAAAGTGAAACTAAATCAACGTTTTGCATGTTGTTTGCAATCCGTGCAGGTTGGAGCGAGGCTTAAGCAGAAACGATGGCTATTAACGTTCATAATTGTAAATTCTTCCGTTTTTCTGAATTAAATTTGAGTTATAGTACAACATCTCCTCGTTCATAGCCAACTCGGGTTACGAAAAACACGTGCTTAAGTACTGTGTCATTATATTGTTCTCTGCCAACACATGAGTTTGTGTATACAAATGAACTATCTCGTTCTCAAAACTGTCACGTAATGTTATCGGTTTTGAATTCGAGAAGGGCTTCCGATTAAAATGAGTGGTCAAACTGGACATTGGAAACCGACTGTAAATAACAGGATACCTGTAGTACAGAAACGATATTGGAAGTGTATAAAACACGAACAATATATTAAAAGAATAACGTTTTCAGACGATGTTACTTTAACATAGGATGCGTCATCAGAATGTCATATGTTATGCACAATATGTCATTATGGCTTTTTGGACACCTCTGCGAGGGTTGTCATAACCTGCATGTCACGCTTTAATACATTTAAATAACGGACTTATTCAGAATATACACATACGCTTGACGCTGTTCAAAAATGGCGAAATTAGGAAATTTATTTCATAATGGGGATGTTTCACCTCCCTGTTTCTATCTTTACATTTCTTTCTTTCACTTTGTGTTTTCCTCGGTTGCCTCCGAGGCCCTTCGCATCGTTGGCGAGTCCTAAAAGGACAAAAAAGCTGTATGACGCAGTTTCTAAACCATCAAAAGGTGCTATGCACTTGTGTATCTTATGTACAATCTTTGATGGCAATAGTTTAGACCAGATACGTATGGCCACTTTGAGTAATAGAGCTTAAGTTGAAAAGTATTGTGCTCAGGAGGTAATACTAACTTACTCTGAAATCTATTGAATTATGAAGCTAATACACCTCATCTAGGACTTAAAAAATTCTTTCCATCTATTTGAGTTTCCACTACTCGTCTCTTAGGTTTTACAATTAAGGTGATGAGTTCTAGAAGGACAACGGTGCGGTATGACGCAGTTTAATTCACTATTCGGCTGTAGGGTATGCAATTCTAAATTTGTACTTAAACGGTGCAATTCACCTGTGTGTCGTTTGTAAAATAATGAGTTTGCACGGTGGTAGACACTATAGGTAAGGTTTTAGTCCGTGGCGTTTGCCTAACCTGCATATCCGGTTTTAATTCATTCGAATACTGGCGTGTTTTAGAGTATACATATGTACTTGACTTTCTTCTGAAGTAATAGAATATAAAGAATGCATTGGATCGTTCGTTTAGTGCACCTCTTATCGAGATTTTTGTTCCATTACTTTTTTCCAGTCGCCTTCTGGCTTTCACAGTTTATGCCCTTATAATCATAACGAGTCCTAGAACACCTTAACTGCTATATGATAAATTTAATTCATTATGTGGTGGTTATTAATCAAAATTCTACATTTGTGTTAAAAAAGTTGCTATTCATTACAAGTTCTTAAGAATTTTTTAAAAGGGGCGTTAAGTAGTTGTACATGTGTTTTTTAGGGATGTTACATAGCTTTTCGCATTCGATGCTGTTATGATGTGTATCTAACATCGCAATATTGCATACTGTTTTCTGATTTACATGGTTCATATCACCTATAAACTATTATTGTAACATTATGATAAAATATTCAATATAAAACAACAAGACAATTTCAATATGTGTGAACATAATCATCATCCAAAGTCAAATTTTACAAAACTGGGACAAATCAAAGTTAATGAGAATAGGATATACGAAAACGCAACAGACAGGCAAATTAACGAGCAACAAACACTTTACTAATGTATCTTCTTATTACACAGTACCGGCATATTTCTCAATGAGATCACCATGACGACCGTCAATGTTTCCTACCGATACTGTATATCAATTCGGCTTTTGAACCTTGTGCCAGTGTTAGTTGACATCTTGCAAAGAAAATCTCGATATTGGTAATGGACCCTTTGATATCGACTTAAATGTGACATGTTAACATCATATGTTAGGCATGCAGTGTTGTTGCTATCCAGAAAAGGAAAATTAATATCGGGGAAATTGAAATCATTACGCATATCATACAGTTTGATGGAAAGGTGTCCATGCTGGTTTCATTGTAGTAAAAGATCAAAATAAGCGGATGATGTAAAAAGGTCTGCCATGTCTTTGATTTCAAGTACTGGCTAGTATATGTGATGGACTGGACCAATAAATTTCTTGTTCTTTACAGACAAGATATCATCAATATACATGAAAGTGAGATGACAATGGCTTTGCAAGGTCGTAGTGACTTGTTTTGATAAGATAGATGTTGGTAAACAGAAACTCGGTAATTTTTATTATTTTGCTATATATATATAGATATATTTCTTCTTTGATTATTTTTAACGGAATACGCAATAGTATATTTCACAACCGTATATAGGTACTGCCTATCATAACAAGAAAAAAACAGTTTCTAATTGGGTATAGTGTTGTACAGACCTGAAAAATCAAATGCTATTATAGACGAAATGTTTAAGAAGATGGTGTTGAAGCTATCTGGAGTTATTTGATATACATATACTATTAATTCTTCTTCTTCAGTAAAAATGTATCTCATTAAGACTATACTTAGATTGGTAGTAAGACGTTTGGACAACATGTTGGTTAAATAGCTGGACGAGCGAACAATGAAACGCTGTTCAAATTATTTTACTGCGAAGGTTAGGAATCAGATATAAACTGAGGAGGTCCGTATTCTTTCACTGATAGGGAATCTATACTAAATGATTGTAATAGCGAAAGCCTGATAAGCCAGAATTTCTTCTTTGGAAAAATATCATAATATATTGATGGAATTTCCTTTGTTATCCAGCAAGCCTAAGAATTTTTGTAGACAGGAAATATAAAAATGTGTGCAGATCAAGTTATTAGATGTCTTATTTGCAGGCACAATAACATAT